CAGCGTGTTTTTACACCAGATGCCCTTTGTGAAACAACCCCAGTGGGTTTTGTTTTGCCTCCTGGTATTAAACTGGGGAGCGTTCACTTGTTAGACGACCACATAAACCACTACACCACAGAGCCACTTTGAGCATTGAGGTTTGATTGAATCTTGCTGAGTTCTTTATGAGGTTGTTAGATGAAAGTAGAGGACACTGAATCAACAATCCTGCTCCAGTGTTCATGAACACAGTATTGAAGTTGAGTTCATCGACAGGCTCTCTTAGAGGCTGTTCCTTTAAGGAGACCTTAATAATTAAGGTCACCATAATCTTCAAATAACCTACTATAAATCAGATCTAATGAGGTAGCTCGGGCAATGTTTCAGGTCAAGTAAGTTAACAGTTGTTCTCTTAAAAGCAGGTTGTTAATGCTATCCATCAAGTCTAACAGTCTATGAACTAACCTCAGCTAACACCAGCTAACAGGGTTAGCTTGGTGCCGAGTAGCCTTCAGTAATAGTAATGAATCACACAGCAGTAGCACATCAAAGATACTGAAGTGGCCCATGACCCAGGTAGCAACTAATACAAGGTGGTTGCAGCAGGCTAACGTTAGATTTTTAAAAGAACTTCCTTCCAGATGTTTCTTTAGGTTGGAGTCTTTTGATGCTGAGAGCAGCTTGATTTCTGACGAACAGAGTTTGCATTGCACGTTTAGATTTGGCCCTTTCTTCTTCACATTCCTGTGCACTGCTGGCCCTGTTTGTGCTGGCTCCGGGTCCACTGTGTAACTGAAGCCATCAACATTAGCAGGACGCTTACATTAGAGCCTCTTTATGCGTGTTTTGTTTGGGTTTCCACCGGTGTGGAATTACCAAAATTAAAGAGGGCATAGCCTAACATATGAAACAAGAAGAGGCCGATGTGTAACCCATTTATTTCAACAACGTAACTGTATTCTCATTATCACCTATTTAAGCAGTAACTGTAACAGAATAAAATTACTCATATTTGTATCTTAAATATGTAATGCCGGTACATGTATTCTGTTACTTAGGGTGACCAACCGTCCTCTTTTCCCCGGACATGTCCACGTTTCACGTTCTGTCCGGGGCGTCCGGGGGATTTTCGAGATGGATGGAAATGTCCGGGTTTTCCCATCCGGTTGTTCAGTCTGACGTCACTAGCCGTGTCTGGACCTAAACTCCGCTGCAGGTCCATATATCAAACGATCACTATGGCATTACTGAGAGTTGAAAACTGTCTAAAGTCTTTCATCTTTAATAAAATGATCAGCGTTCTGCTCTACCAGGTGTAACAATTGAGTTTAACATCCAGGCATCCATGAAAATGGAATTTATGACATTTAACGGAGTTAGAAGTTAGCAGGGAGTTAGCTCGCTAGCTTCTATCTAAATACAATATAGCATGTCCTGACTGCAGGGTTTTGGAAACAAATTCAAACGTACAGCTCTGCTATCACTTCCAGCATAAATGAAGACAGAAAACTAAACAGCAGTGACGTTTGTAGGGTTACTGAAGTTGGGCTAGCTGCTATATAATGATGTGCTACGTGACCGCTAGTGACACAGCTATGTTAGCATAATATAAACAAGCTAACTTTTTTTCCACTCGATAAAAGTTAACGTGAGTGTTGTCGGTGGTCAGGAACAAATGTAATCGCATGGCAGGATGCTGTAAAAGGACCAAACTTCAGCCAGGAGAACAACTGAGATAATCCATCCACAACACGAGGTTAGTCATTCATATACTGCTGCATGGGCTGGGCTGTAGTTACATCCTAAGGTTTTAAAAACTGAGCTTAAATAAATGATTAGCGGTAATAAAAGCCGAGGGAGGTCAACAGTGATCACTGACTGTTTTAGGAGCTTTTTGAGATCAAATAGAAGAAAATACAAAACATTAAACATGTTAACAACACAAAAGCCATATTAAACGCAGACTACTTTAGGCCCGGAAGTAGGATTCGTCACGTCATCACTGAACGACCGGATAGGCCTACAGAGGACCCATATGTGCAGCGTCATCCCTGAACTGCTGTGTTGTAAGTGGTTGTTCCGCGCTGACAGACGGGACAGAGCGTGGAGCGGTGCGCTAAAAAGATGCCAAAGCGCATCTTTTTAGAAAAACTGCAAAAGAAATTTCCCTCGTACCATCCCGGTCGGAATAAATGGGAGGCGCAGTGCTCTGTGTGCAGAGCTGGCACATAACGTAACGTTTGTGTGTCTAACAAAGGTGCCGGAGATCTTGTTGCTTACATGGACACAGAAAAACATAAGCAGCATTTCTAGACTTTAACACAGGTGAAAACTTCAGCAGTGCACCAAGACTGAAGCTGTTGTCACTCTTGAAGCTAATGAAATCCAGCACTGTGGCATTTCTCAGACTTCAGTAACCATGGAACAGGGAAAATATTCCCAATCATACTGTGACTGGAAGAAGCAGAAGCAGAAACCATTGCACAATACCTCACTGGTACCTCACTGGTACCTCACTGGTACCTCACTGGTACCTCACTGGTCATTGTTCTTATACAGATGAGGCATTATTTCTGTAACATTATTTCATTCCAGAGGTTTTTAAGTTGTTTTATTTTGCACTTGTTGACTTGTAAAAGCCTATATGACATTTGTTATTTCACCATTCATTAACTGCACAGAGGAGGCATCTTTTAAATATGTTAACATTTTCTTTAAACAAACAGTATTATTGAAACTCCATGACTGGGCCAAGTGTCCTGTTTTATGGAAATCAAAATATGGTCACCCTACTGTTACTCCCCAACACTGTACGACCTGGCTGACGCCCCATCAGCTGACAGCGATCGCTGTAGGAGACGGTGCTACCACTGTGCTGACCAAGTCACTCATTGCATTTAAAAACACAATGAAATTTGAGTTGCATCACCATCAACCAGTAATGAACATGAAAACATGACAGTTTGTCACCACTGTGATACTTTGACTGCATTTCTAGACTCACTGGGCAGTCAAAGCCCTTTAGACTACAGCTTTCAGCCTGCTTCACTGAGCTGATCGGTAACATTTTTACTTCCCTGCAAACAAAATCCCTTAGAAACAGGTGTGTGTGTGTGTGTGTGTGTGTGTGTGTGTGTGTGTGTGTGTGTGTGTGTGTGTGTGTGTGTGTGTGTGTTCACTCGTGTTGCTGGGTGTTGACTTTCTAGACTCTGTGTGTGTCGTTGGGTTACACTGAGGACGTGGCTGGTAGGATGAACTGGAATGACAAGGCCCATCATACATAAGGAAGCAGCATTGCAGACATGCCAGCTCACTGAAACCAGGACGGCAGAAAGGCCGGTCCATTCATCGCCACAGAAAGATCTCCTTGTTACGCCAGTCCTTCCACTGCACCTCGTGTTCTTCCTCCACTCGCTTCCCAGAAGTGACAGATGGGAACACAATACAAGGCAATGCTCTATCTTGGAGATGTTTGTTGATGCTTTGGTCTCTGTTAGAGTTCAGATGAAGGCATGACATTATAATTTAATCAGTTACACTCGAGAGGTCGAAGGGTAACGGCTCTGGTTTGGTATTGACAGTGTAATTGGTTAGACTGAGACCGTCGACTGAAGACGTTTTTCCACATTAACCTTTTGATTTATATTCTGGGCTGCGCTCTTCTTTCTTTTACTCTGTATAACCCTGACTGGATTCACAGTTCATTCATGTTTGATAGAATTTTCATTGTTTGATTTTACTTTATTGTGTTTATTTGCTTTTTGCAGAGACTGTCTAACATTTTTAACTATCTAAGAATTAGACAGCTACTTATATAGATCCTTTCTACTCTAACAGGGTTCAGTGTTTGCCCAAAGATCAAGGATCAGCATGCAAAGTGGAGGAGCTCCGGATCTGATCTATAAACAGCCCGTTCAGTTCATTTGTCTCTTAACTTTGTCCATCTTAAAAGTCTGTACTAATATTTGTACAAGAAAGAATTTCAGCATACTCGTACATACGTACCCTAAAGCAAAGTGAGTCGGCATGCAGCAAAAACACTTGTTATTATAATGCAGTGTAAAGGACGGTATATACGTTCATGTTTAAATGTCACTTCCTCAGATCCAAATATAAATCCTGCATTTTGACAGCAGACTGGTTTGCACACTGTTGTTACTGGTTCCTAAAACCGAGGAGAAGATTTCTGACCCAGCTGAAATGATCAATGCATTCTTCTTGTCTTCTCCAGTGCAATCATTCAAAACCGCTGCAGGTAACACCCAGCAGGAAGTGTGTTCTGAAGTAACTGCATTGGTTATTGCCCGTCCACTCCTTTCCTCATCTCTGAATCTCTGTCAGGACACCGTTCATCTCCAAACATGTCAAAGGCATCGACCTCGGTCTGAGACACACATCACCTGTGCCTGTCTTAATGTGAAGCAGTTAGTTTGACCCCTGTGTGCTGACACACCACAGTATGTTGGGCAAAATGAAGGTTGTCACAACAAAATCCTAATAAGTTGTGTTATCGTGTAGTGAAATGACCTCATGTGTCATTGCTCAGTCTGTATTCCCAGTTCACCAGCTGACCCCCCCAGTTTAGGTCACGCCCCTCCATCCCCAGCCACCCCTCCACCAGCGGCACCACCACGTGTATAACATGCTGTTTGCTGCACGTTGTGATATGCATGTGTTATTTGAACACTGATGCACGCTGTGAGCCACAGTGCAGCTCCTGTGTTGACTGTTTGATATACACTGAAGGATTCTGCAGGCTTGTGTGGTTGCTTTGCCTGTTTTGTGTTGTTGCAGTCCTCCAGCACAGTGACACGCTGGACTGTGGTGTGACGCTGCTTTAGTTTTGTCGACACCTAGTGACTAAGATGTGTTGTTACATTCATCTGCCAGCAGCACACACCGGGGCAGTCAAGCATTCATGGCTTTGAGTATTATCGTTAAACATGTTTTGGAATATTAAAAAAATTGTGCACATTAATATTAATATTTGCATTTTTAAGGAATTTGTCTGTGGAGAAAGTGATTCGATATCAAGGACGTTTCTTTTCTATTTCATCGTCATGCATTGCGAATGAGGCACTTTTGGCACATCTCGTTTATCCTAAATGCTGACTGTGCATCGTTACTATAACAGAAAGGCGAAGCGTGTCAGAGCAGAAAGCAGAACATCACACCTGTCCAGCAGGAAGTTGCTGGATCCTGTGGAACAGCAACTTCCTGTCTGTAACAGCCAGATAGACTCTTTGATTACAGATGTTTTAGTCTGCTCTGATCAGAGAGACAGATTCAGTGTGAAACCTGGTAAAAGTATCTGTGTAAAACACTCAAACTGTACCCGTCGTTTTAAACGTTATCGCTGAACATTCGGCTGCAGTGCATCAGTAACGTCCCAGATGCACAGAATGATGCAACAAACCTCATAAAGCCAGTAAATCCTCTGGTTTTGATTAACTGGCGGCCTCAACACTAATCTGTTATATCTGAGATATGGGAGACAATTTAGTTTAACTTCCTGTGAGCGTTTTACTAGGTGATAACTGGCCAGACAAAATATTTAATATAAAAATCTGAAGCACACTAACAACAACACATCATGTAATCAGTCTTATTAGTTGTAAAGCAAAAGCAGCAAAGTTCACCAGTGTCTTTGTATGTAAACGCAGGATGTTTCTTCTTCTTCTTATCTGTTGCTCTCAGTTTGCTTGTGTTTATTTGCTGTATGAACAAGCTAATGTAGGCTGACTGAAGCAGGCTTCAGCCCTCACATTGACACTGAGACCTGGAGGGAGGATGCTGGACAGACGTGGCACACCCAAACATATTTTAAGGCCCCGGACCACAACATATTCAGTTCCTGCCTCCAGGAGAACTTTGACACATGGGGTCAGAACGGACAATATTGTAAACCTGCATCGTTGAAGCACGGAGCTGGAAGGTGGTTGGTACCTGTGATGGTGGTAGTGGTTGAAGTTGGTGGACACCAGGAGGTGAAGGGAAGCAGCTGACATTTAGCAGAGTTTGACTCTGGGAGTAGCTGAATCAAGTAACCAGGTGAGGGCGTGGAACAGGGTGTGCTGCTAAGGATATTACTGTTCTGCTAAATAGAAGGAAGGAGGATCTCCTCAGTCTGGGGTCGAGGGGAACGAGTGACCCCACCCCACCGCTAGGCCCTGGAATACATGCATGTTGTAGGTTTGTCTTGGTTGCTAGGCCTCTGCAGTGGCTCGTGGAGATCTGGGCGGTGCCTGTGGATCGGCTGACGGGGATGTTGGTTCCCATCGTTAAGAAGAGCAGCACAGTATGCTCCACCCACATTATTCAGCCTTCCTGGATTAGAGTGAAGAGTGTGGTTTATGTTGTGATTGTGAAATATCTGGACCAGGATCTTTGTGTGTGCAGGGAAGGTTGCTCAAACACGGTACCAGTCTGCTGTGGTGAAGAGAGAGCTAAGTGCAGACCAATGGGTCTCTGTCCCTACCCTAACCTATGGCCACAAGCTTTGGGTAGTGACAGAAAGCAAGCAGCAGAGAGTGACTGGTCTCGCAGAGGTAGGGTGAGGAGTTCAGTCACTTGGGAGAACTCGGAGCAGTGGAGCAGCAGAACCAGAGCCAGCTCAGGTACCCGGGGCACCACAATCCAGATCTTGGGCACCTAGTGAGTAAGGTGTTCTGGCATGTTTCACCACGAGCAGGTCCTGTGGTAGGGTCAGGACATGCTGGAGAAATGACATCTCTCAGCTGGCCTAAGAACGCCTGTCTTCACCTGGATGAGCTGGAGGAGGTGGCTGGCAGAGCAAGGTCTCTGCTCCTCCACACCATGGCCCCAGACGTGGATGGATGGTGGTGGATGGTGTCGTGTCTTTCTTGATTTTCAACACGCAGTGCAGCTACATCTGTTGTCTGTATGTTGGCGGTTTTATTCTCATGAATATCATGGTAAGTGATGGTTTTTTAAAACCTTTGCGGCCCATAGGTGGCTCTGCTGTGTCTGTAGCCACGCCCTGCAGTGACCTTCAGTGCCAAAGAAGATTTGCAGGTTTGCTTTTCAGGCACATGATTAGAAAATAGTTGTGAACAAACTAAATAACAGTTCTCTGTCTGCAAGGGATACTGCAACAAGTTGTGTTTACACAGTGTGTGTGTGGTGGGAGTGGGCGTGGCTAGTCTCTTCTCCATTGTGTCTTCATCACAACATTGTGATTCTAGGTCAGCAGAGAAGTCGCCTCTATTTTTGTCCCCGTAATCCCCTGTAAGAATGCACACACCCTGCAGTGTGCGTGCATGCGTTTGTGTCTGCGTGCATGTCAGCTGCAGTGTGTTAATACCTCTAGCGTGTTACACACTAATCCACTCACAGAGTCGCAGGACCGCTCTGCCTCCCCCCCTCGTCTCCCCTTCTGTCTTGGCTCGGACACCCCGAGTGGCCGGGACACAGTGGATATATTTGACCCCGGCGTGCTGTGGCCTCTCTGGAGCACCCACGAGTGCAGGCATGGTGGTAGGAGCAGCAGGCCAGGTAAGCGCTGAGGGTGGACTGGGACAGTGACACAGGTACTAAACTGGAACTGAATTCTTCTTTAATCAGTGCAAAGACCTGCAGTCTTTCATCTAATGCTGTGGATTCTTCACCTGTGACACTGACTGTTGGTTCAAATAGCACGGACTAGCTTAGAGTTGGGCATAAAACAACTTAAATCAGAGTCAATTTCTAGTAAAACTTTGTGTATTTACCCTTAAAAACAATGTAAACTAATGCTGATAAAGATAAAGCAGAAGGTTTTGTGGTTTTCATTCACAGACGGAGCTCCAGGGTTCGGCCTACAGCTGCTTATTGTTGGAATAAAAATTAAATTCATCGTTTTCCTGTCCAGCTAAACTATATGCTTTGCTTTGCCTGTGTAAGCATGCACATAATTATGTTACCAGACTTTGTTATAAAGCTGAGGTTGGCAGAGTTGTAGCAGTCGTGGCTTCCTAATGAACCCTGCGAGTGTGGTGGTTCCCAGAGTGAAAGCAGACTGGAGACGACGTACACAGAAGGCTTAACTGCTCGTGTGTCGTCAGCTCTCGATGTGTAAACTGGACTTCGGTTCTTTGAGGCGCGTTTGTGTTCAGGGCCGTCGATCGAGTGGAACATGTTGAGGCTCTGATGTTGGACGGGGTTGTTCTCCAGCTAGGTTTTCTTACTCGCACAGCTCTCTAATGCCACGTTAGAGCAGAAAGTGGGACACGGTAAAGATGAAGTATATGTGAAGCAGGGAGGGTGATGTCATCACCGCCTCAGGGGAATTGTGGGACGGCTCATTTGGCTCAATGGGACCGATGAATCGAGCGCCCTCGGCGCACCCGCTCGCTCTCTTTATTCGTGATTGTCCTTTTGTGTCCGCTGTGCGGTGAGACGAGGACTCCTGATTGTTCTGATTATCTTCCACACAGACAAAGGAACCAGGAAACTCTCCGTGTTAACCACACACACAGCTTCTCATTATGCTCGTGTGAGCTCAGGAGAGTCTGTTAATGAAACTCAAGGGATGTGCTTATCCCAGACCCCCCCATGGTGAGCCTACCTTCCCCTTCTTCACTGTCACCATGACGATGCCCCACACCCTTGTTGCTAGGCAATAACTGATGGAAAGCAGCCGCTGCATTGCTATTGTGAAACCGAGGCTCAGTTTGAAATAAATCTTGTTGTAAACGAAGGCTTGAAGGTACTCGGTGGTGAGATTGTTCCTAAGCAGCCTCCATTAAGCACTGACACAGACGACACTGAGGTGATATCTAAAGATGATGAACACTGGATTTCTTCTTGAAAGCTTTCAGTGAGACAGCTCTGTGCTGTGTGCTAGCTGAGGAAGCTTGGACTTGAGAAAAGGTTGTTTCAACCTAAATGTAATCTCTCTTTTCCTCAATCTAAGTCCAACTTAGATATGAAGAAATGACAGCATGCTGGAGTCAGCTCTGTCCTGGATGAAGGCCTGGTGGGTGTGGACTGGACCCCTAACCCTAATCCGGCCTCTTCACTCCTGTGTCCTCCTCTTTTCCACTGTTGTTTGGAATAATCTGGTTTTCTGAGTGTTTCTGATGTGAAAAATGATAAGTTAACGTATTTCCTCTGACTCACGTGACTCCAACGTGGTTGTCAGCCACACGAGGAAAATGATGGAGCTAAAATCCTCCACGTTACACTTCATTTACTGCACTCATAGGTCACCTTTCATGCACACGGGAGCGTCTCAGTTCAGCTCTGTGCTCTACTTTGTAAATTGCAAACAACACCCTGAACTTGTGACTGGCCAGGGGCGGGACCGTTAATGAGTTTGTGTCTACAGATAGGGCTGCTCGATTATGGCACAAATGATAATCACGATTATTTTCACTGAAATTGAGATCTCGATTATTTGACGATATTTATTTAACCCTTTAAGACCGACCATAGAACCAAGTCCGCCAGAGCTTATAGTATATGTTTACATGCTGTGGAGCCATTTGTGGGAGCATTTCAAGTTGCTATACATCAATACAACTGTTATAGCCCTAATTTTAATAATATGTATGCATTAAGTGCATAGTAATTACATTAATTGCAAAAAAGTGCAATAAACTACAAAAAAATTTAAAATCGTTTTTGGGTTTTTTACATATTTTTTACATATATTTCTACCTGGAGAAATTTAAGAGGTTTATCCCTCAAAACTTTAAATACAAAAAAGTTACCAAAAAAAATAGTTTACAACAACAGGAAATTTATTTTGAGTGTCTTCATAGTTTTATTTTGGAGATACAGCAATTTTTATATACTGCAGAAAAACCGAAAAACAATCTTATGATGCAAATTTGCAAAGAAAACAGCAGGTGCATCAAAATAAACTATTTCCAGCAGTGCAATTAGAGTTCTAAGCATCACAGAAACTATTCAAAAAAGTCAAACATGACTTATAAAAACACCAGTATAGGCTTTTAAGGCCTACAAGTGAAAAAACAACATTTTCCGCAAAAATGACGTCACTTCCTGTTTCGGGCAGGAAATGGCGGACATGCGATAGTTCGCGCTGACGTCTGTTTCACTGTGGGAAGTGTTACGAACAGCTGATCGGATCGGCAAAGCGTGTTTCTGGAATATTATGTTTTTGTTCCTGCAAGCGCTTTTTATGCAGGTTTTGCAAAACTGTACGTGGAAGGAAACCGTGACCGAGGACAAGCTGATGGCACAAGACGTAAGTTCCATACGCAAAACAGATTATTGCGCTAGCTTACACGGTTCAGGTTCTACAGGGATTTAAAAATAGTTACGCAAAACAGAGCGTGCTGCTCTGACCGGCTTTAAAGGGTTAACAATGACTTTAAAAAAATAATATAAAATAGTGCAAATACTGATAACAGTGCAAATGTTTGCAATATAAGAAATTAATGACAAATGTAAACATCTGTGTTTAGTGAACTTTGCAGTGTTGCTCTGTGGTGCAGCTATGACACCGTAGCAAAGTTTACACACAGTCTTCTTGATCCACGTCTGACTGAACCCATAATGTTTCCAACCACTGAAGTTTTTTACCTCTCTGTTCAACCAACAGCAGTCACTGTCCTCTCCAAATAACTTCTGTTTAGCTTTCCAAGCTTCCCTCGGGTCCTCTTAATCAGCGGTCCCCAACCCCCGGGCCTCGGACCGGTACCGGTCCGTGAGTCGTTTGGTACCGGGCCGCGAGAGTTGAGGCTCAGGTGTGAAATGTCTGTTTTTCAGGGGTTTTATCGGTTTTTTACGTTATTTTGTTATTGTTTTTATCGTTGACTCGGTTTTCCTGGGTCTTTTCACGTGTGTTATGAATAAATTCTTTTTTTCGGTACCGGCACTAGTTTTATTTTGTTGTATTTATCCGCGACACCTTAAAGGCCGGTCCGTGAAAATATTGTCGGGCATAAACCGGTCCGTGGAGCAAAAAAGGTTGGAGGCCGCTGCTCTTAATCGTTGTGACACGTGTTCAAAATGCAGAGAGGTGCGCTCGATTTGCCACACGGAGCAGCGCGAGAGTAAAGCACGAGGGAGGGGCTAATAATCGGCTCAGTCATTTTTAATGATCGTTGAAAGCCCAGATCGTAATCGAGATTAAAATTCGATTAATTGAGCAGCCCTATCTACAGATCAGACTGAAATCATCTGTGTGAAAATCAGATGTCTTTCTATTCAAGCACAAGAACGTGCACTTTAATGTGTAGAAAATTAGGACGCTGTTCTTCCAATTTTGGTGTTTTTCACGTTCTTCTTTTGTCCGTTCTTTCTGCCTGTATGATGCCAACAGCTCAGCATATCTCGTTCCAGAACGGCGTAGTTGTTAATAATAATTCTTGCCCACGTGAAGGCAACGCCACGAAAATGTGACGTTCAAACTAAGAACATTAGCTTCAAATATGTCAATAATGGCAACAGTATATAAAGGAATGAAATTAATAACATGGAAACCAATGAAAATGAATATTTCATGAAGTGACTGCTGTTGAACTGAGAGCTGTAACTGGACCTGCTCAGTCTGATTTATCAGAGTCTTTTAGCTTCAGCTGGAGCATTTACTGCTCACACAGCACAGCTCGGTCTGAGCAGCAGCACATTTCTTTATTCATATACACATTTCATTACCACAAAGTGCTGTTTACAAAACAACTAATACTATAACTTTGTTACCAAACAACTCTCAGTGAATACAGGCGTGTTTACAGATGAGATTTCAAAAGTCATTCCTCTGTTTTAGCAGCGGTGATGAATTAAAGCCCCAGAGCCTCTGAGCAAGGCAGCAACAAATGCACAAATGCACACATGTGAACACACAGTAGATAACAAGCTCCAACTGATGCACATGTTGGTGTTCATAATCACACATGGCTGTGGCACAGCTTCAAAGCCTGGGCTTCTCTGAAGCAGTCACCGACCTGCCGCCTCCTGACACTCACAGAGGTCAGAGGTCACAGCTCTGTCAGGGTCAGAGTCTGACGAGCTCCCACAGTCCATCGAGGAATGTGTGTTTTTGTGTATTTGAAGTGAGGATTCTCAGCAGCTGCGTGTATCCAGTATGAGACCCTCAGCAGATTATCCTCCGCTCTGTTGGGGGAGATTTGGAGAAGATTAGTAACCAGGCAGATTTACTCCAGGTTTCCTGCTGCTATGAACCTCCACACTGCTGGATGCCCACTGCTAATACAATTATTGTGAGTAACATGCTGAGCAGGTTAGGAGCCACTCTTTTCACAGGGGGCAGGAGATCGTGTGTTTCACGTCGTCTCTAATTCTAACTTTAATATACGTTTGACTGTCTGTGGAGTATCATACTGTCACTTTTCACTGCAGTGTTAGGACAGAACATGAGGGGGCGCCATTGTGTTAAAAAGCAAAAAGGGTGAGGTCGCGGTGGAAACGGAGGCGATGCTTCGTGTTAATGAGGATTATTTACGTTTAAACATGAAAAGTGTGCGTACTGCCACATTAATTATTATTATTACTGCCTCACATGAGTCAGTGGTGCTAATACT